TTTTGAGGCACATCCGTAGTTCTACATTATAAGGTTGCATAAACTTTTTCCTTATATTTTAGAACTTCATTATCTTAAAGAGCAAAAAATATTGCGAGTTTAAAAATAAGGGAAAAATTATGTTGAGACCCAAAATGAATTTTGTATACATTTTCCTTTTTTTTTGACGAAGTTCAATATTTATTGATATCAAAGCAGGATACAATATAGCAGATACATCATCAACAATCACCAGCGCAGTAAGAGAAGTACCCCTTTTAGCTAAAGAGTCCGTTAAGTCATTGGCTTCCATATACACATGAGCTACGGATAAGGTCAAAGAGGACAGCAGCTGAAAGATCTGATGCCCAATGGATTTAAGTTGCCAAGAAAAGCGTTGCTCTTTCAAACACCATTTAATCACATTCATCGAATCCCTTCAATGATAACACATGCCACTATATTTCTGGCCACTAGAATTTTCAAGCCATGAAAAATCGTAAGAAGTTCTACCTGATTTGCCGTAGTGATTCCACACGGGCCAGCATATGCAATTAAGATATTTCTTTGGCAATCACGTATTGTACCACTGTAGCCAGCTAGACCTAGATTGCTCAGCAAGCTTCCATCAAAATTCAGCTTACGCACTCTTGGATCAGGTGGCTTCCATCTAGTACAAGGTCTAACTTTAGGCACATCGAACTGAAAAAGGTTAGAGAGATTAATAAAAACATCAACCTTGGATAAACCCTTGCCTTCTTTGATGACAGCTAGCCATGACCAAAGGGAGATTTTAATATTATTTAATACCCTGTCAAAACAATAGGCTTTCCTTTCAAAGGTTATTCGATTTCTCTCCAACCATACTTCCCATAGAACGAAAGCATGAACGATCTTCCAGAAAGAGTTCCCAATTTTAGGTAAAGGCACCTCCAATTGAGTGATCAATCCAACACATGTTGCGATAAGGTTAGGTTCATCCCCAACAATTGCAAGCATGACCACCAGATTTTGGATATAAACGAACAATGGATAAAAAGGTATGCCCCACTTTCACTATCTTCCTTGGACATCAAGCAAACATTAGTAATGAACTTCCTTCTTTTAATCAGATTGTCAACAGTTAGGAGTTTATCTTAGGTAGCCAACCAAAGAAAGACCTGCACTTTATGTGAAATAGGCCAATTCCATATTTGTTTTATCTTCGGAAGAGACCAGTGCACTATGTCAAAGAAAAGTAATCTATAGACCGACTTAACAGAGAACTCACTATCATTTTCAATTCCCATACCACTTCATCATCAGCATGCTGCCTAATGAAAGTTTGATCAAGGTCTTGTAGCAGATTAAGAAACGAAAGAAAGAGATAACTCTGAAGTCTGTCATAAGGGAAAGTGATATTCCAGTAGCCTTGTTGATTCTAACTTCCAACAAGTCTGCCACCGTAGCCTGGGGAATATTAACCTTATCTAACAAGAGGGGATAGACTTTCTTTTAAGGTCCATTACTCAGTCATTTGTGATGCCAAAAGGAAACCGTGGATCCTGAACCAGGCAGCCATCGAACATTGCGATCTAAAATCTGTTAGAGGGCATAGATATCTTTCCAAAGAGGGGAGGTGCTCTCCCTTCCCTCTCCTCTTTTTAACCACATCCCAAATCCATCCACTTCGTACTTTGATAGCAGCACTTTATACCAAAGCTGCTCTTTGCAAGTGAGACTCCGCCACCACCACTTACATAATAGTTCAACGTTCATAAGCGGCAATCTTCTTACCCCTAGGCCTCCCTCTCTCTTCGGTGTGCAAACCTTATCCCACCGAATAAAGTGGTATTTTCTTTCCTCTCCAAATGAGCCCAATAGAAAGTTGCGCATCATACATTCAATATGCCTAGTCACTGCCCTTGGCATTCGCAGAAGGGATATTTGGTAAATAGTGAGATTTGCTAAGCATGAATTTAACAAGGTGACTTTGCCCCCCAAAGATAAGTACTTAGGCTTCCAAAGGTCTAGCTTAACTTGCACCCTTTGTATGACACTGTCCCACACAGCAATGGGTAGGTGCCCATTGGAGATTGGTAGGCCCAAATATTGGAAAGGAAATTTGTCCACTCTACAACCAAATCTCAATGCTAGATCTCTAACTAGCCTCATCACAATTCACCCCAATCATTGCCGTTTTTTCAAAATTAACTTTCAGCTTCATTAACACCTCACAACAAATCAAGAATATCTCAATCTTATCAAATTGCTCCCTATCAGCATCACAAAAGAGAAGTATGTCGTCAGCATATTGTAGGTGAGTAACTGGAAGGCCATTCTAAGATACTTTAAATCCAGAAAAATACCCACAAGATACAATATTGCAAATCATTTTACTAAAGCACTTCGTATACAATGTAAAGAGAAAAGGTGATAGTGGGTCACCCTGTCTCAAGCCCCTAGAAACCCTGAAAAAGCCTTTCGGACTACTATTAATGAGAACAGAAAAATGAGCAGTTGATAGGCATCCAAAATTCCATTTTCTCCCAATAAATTTCCCAATACTTTTAGTATCGCACTCTTAACTCGGCCACTATTTTTTCTTATTTTAACCCCACAATCAAAAACTAAATATTTTAAAGACTTGACTACCATTTCCCTCTTTATCTTTCTCTTTCTCACTGTCTCTACTCGCTCTCTCTCTTTCTCTCTCTATCCAACCTCCATCTGTCTCTCTACCCTCCTCTCTCTCTTTCTCT